GATCTGCACAGAATATTCCTGGATATCACTGACACATTTCTTGAAACTGAATAAACATTTGTACATACTTGTTACTATAAACAACTTCACAAAGTTGGCCAAAGCTTACCCATTGGTTGACACTTCAGCACAGTCCATAGCTGATGTGTTGGCAGAGCACTGGAAGAGATCCACACATCAAAAGAATGGCTCTATCAACTTGTAGACTGAGTCTGGCGATGGTACTTGCTGGTGGCACGAATGCAGTTCAGGTACTGCTTGAAAGATCCATACTTCCAGCAAATTGGTCCAGTGACATACGAGTTACAGTAAATGTGAGATGCATGAAAACAGATGGGACATAAAAATAACCTGCATTTGTACACCATAGAAAAACCTGTAGTACAATGAATTGATCAAGAGTAAATGTTGAGGCTGATAAGTCACAGAAAGTAAGACCATCTTATGTTGTGCCAATTCATCCAATAAGGAGGTGAAAATATATATCTAGCTGTCCACAATTAGACAGAGAAGAAATCACTGGAGTAAGATGTGAAAGACAACTTGGGCAGTTGGCCAAACCACAGCAACTGGCCTCTTGGATGATATAGCTGGGATTGGTTGACTTTCAAGAACCTAGGATGACTTGTTGGTTATAAGATTAATGAGACTGAAATGGCTTAGCAACCTTTACTTTTCAAACTATTGAGGAGAGTTTCATAACTGCAGATATCTACTGGGTATCAGATGGTAACTATTTGATTATCATAAGCTAGAATAGTCACATGATCAAAAAATCAATAACTGAAAGAGTATTAGAACCTTTGTTTTCCAAAAATGATGTCTGATACTTCTAGAATATCACTCACATGATCTAGTCAAGTAGCAAGAACTCTACAAAGCATGTCAGCTGGTCTTCACAAGATTCTAACCCCATAAACTTGGAAAACATGACATGTCTCTAGGTAGTGAGGAAGTTGTCTCTCCTCTAAGTGTATGATGACACACAACAGTAATGAATATCAATCATGTCTCATAAGAATTTTGGCTAAAATGTATGGCTGAATTTTGCCTGTGATTTTTTTTTGCGATGCCTGAAATATAAAGCAAGTTCAGTGTGATTGCTGCACAATACAGGACTTCAGGTACAATGTCATAGCTTCATAAAGTAATCCCAGAAGTAATATGCAAGTAAGCCAGACATACTAGAGTATGTGACAATATATAACAGTAATATATGTATATAGTAATACAAGAGTATAAATAAATATATATGTATGAAGTCTTACACATAGGTATGAATATTATATGAATTCATTCATGTGTTGCTTAACATGAAATTACACAACAAAAACACAACAGTTAAGCAGAATTTGAATATAAACAAAGAATTTAATATGAATGTTAACACCGTGATTACAGACCTCAAAGATATTATTTGAAGGTACAGTGCACCCGATATTTTCATTAAAACTTCAGAGTGTGCATTTAAATTTTGACCTTGAAATACTCAGCACATTTGCTACACTTTGGAAAGAATGAAATTCCCAAATTTTTCCCTGATTAAAGTATGTTATTCTCTGACCATCTGACCTATGCTTGTAATATATCATAGCACCATTACCAATAATACAATAAGAAATTGCAAATCATTGTTCATGTATTAACAAAGACATGCTGTAGTTAACATAAAAATAAAATTATTTAGAAAAATTAATGACTGTCCACAAAAAATTAGAGCTGGGCAACTCAAATAAATAATCTATTAACTGAGTATTGGTTATATCAATTAATGTCATAGAAACTAATTGTTAATCAAAACCATGATTAAGTTGATTCTCATGAAAAGTAGTGTTAAAATTATTCCAATAATTGATTAATCAAAATTACAATTATAATGAATGTTACAAAAATAACTATCATCATAAAATTAAGGTTTCCAATTGTTATTGTTTTAAATTATTCCAACTTTCCAAGTAATCAAGATATTGCTGCCAAACTTGCTTGCCCTTTCTTTGTTGTTGCAAAGTAACTAAGGCTGGGCCAGGCTTAAAATAGTTTTGGTTGCTATAACCCTAAACTGAATTTAAAATGTGGGTAGGTAGGTAGATAATTTTTTTTTCAAGTAGCTTTGCAAAATTCTTTTTTTAAAATAACACTAGTTCCATGATCACCTAAAACAATGTGTTAAACCCTGAATACAATTACTATCATCCTTTATTCTAGGAAGAGAATTATAGAAGTTAAAACTTCTTCCGCAACACACTTGCTGGTCGATATCGACCTTACCGACAATTTTATGATTTGTTCTTACATTTTATCTCCTTTGCCAAATAACTCTACAAGTACTTTCCATCACCTAGATAAGTTTACAATCGGAATGAATTTCTTTTTCATCCTAATCCTCAATCTGTGAGAACATTTTTTGGAGATGGTTACAATGAACAGACTTGTGTTCACAATGTTGATGTATGTTTGTCAGTAGTAAATTCTCCCCTGCTAAGTCACGTATTTATTAGTATAGCATGAAGGGTCCTGGGGAGGAGATAAGCCATGTTGTCAAATCTCATTACACCAAAATTAAAGAGTATGGTGGAACAATCATCAAGTTCATGTAATATTTTTATTTAAAGAAGGATGACATTGAGCTAACATTCTTCGGCAGATCGTACAGCTTACAATACCTTCTATACACTCTTTACAACTAAACTTACAAACACACAATCTAGATCTATTTGACTATATCTCTCACTAACTTTGTCTTACTTGAACTACATTTTGGACACGTATTTATAAATAGCAACTGAGACCTAGAACTTTATACATACAATATATTATGATGTATTAATATTCAAGAAAAACATAGAAGGTTCTAAAACAACAATTACCAATTTACAATTGAGCTACATAAGGTATGATTCGCACAGTTACATAAACAAACCTGCTATAAACTATCACTTCTAAAAATAACTAAATGTAACACTCATACTATACTAAAATAAATGGTCTTTATGAACTGGTTATCAAGAGAATACACAGTTTTATGGACTTTCACTATCAGAATAGCTGGAAGAAAATGACTGATGAGATATTTCGTGTACGATACGATATTATACCTCAGGTGGTCTCTTGGAACTGCAGTGTTCACATATGTCTCTAAGCACAAATATTTTGTGGTGGATGTATCATGACTTTCTATGATGACAATGTGAAACTGAATAGTCTGAAAAGTACTGAATTGTTCTACAGTCATTTAAGACATATTCCCTAAACCAAAGAAAGGATTATATTAGCCAAATCAAAATATGTCACCATTTTCAAAAACCTCACTGCTAATCAATGATCCAAAGTCACATTCCTGTCAAATCTACTTTCCAAGTACTTTAAATCAACATGATCCATTGTGCTTTATGGTTAAAAAATATATAAAAAGAAATAGTGCTTTGCTAAGGGAAATGATAAGATTGGTATCACCTTCAATGTTCAGAGGAACCCAGGAAAACCACTTGTGGGAAACAGATTTGTCTAAAATTATGTTAAGTATGCAAACATACAAGATATATATATATATATACACACACACACACACACATATACATATATATATATATATACATAAATAAATTTTATGTGCGGTCTTGACAGATCTATGCAATAAAAACTTGTGTATTTGAGAATGAGCACACTAGTACACATTCTAAAAAACAATCTTCTTTACTATAAAAGCTGCATCATGTAATAAAATAATACTTAATCAGTACATAAACTCAAAACAAAACAATTAAAGCAATCATAGTTTCTTTTGAAATGATACAAGAAAGTATATTACAACTGGTTTTACATCCCGAATTTTGCATATTGTAATGCATTATTGAAATTAAATTCATACATACTATGCATCTTGTTATACATCAGTTGTTTGAAACCACTTCTATACAAAAGTTAAAATTACTGACAAATTGTCACCTTGTTATGTTGCTTGAATTTAGTTATCTTAAAATTAAATTTTAATTCCTTCTTTAATGCTGAGCAACAATTAATTAATTGCCTCATCCAGATAAAAGTATGCGAATCTGGAGAGGTTTTTATGTTACCGAAAAACTACAATACATTTGAAAATAGTTTTTTCCAGTTATTGTTGGGGATAGTTGGAGTAATCAAATGGCATATAACAAATGGAAATGTGTTAATAACTGCCAAATTTAGACAAATAAATGCTGGTTTAGAGATTTGGAAAAAAAATGTCTTAGCAGTAATGTTGAGAACTGGAGCAATTAAGTGTCATTATTTGTTAATTAACTGGTCCATCCAGCTAAGTATATGGTATGAAAACTGCTTTTATTAGGTTTGTGATATCACAGAAAAACTAAAATAGATTTGGTGAATATTCTTTTTGATTATCAATTGACATCAGACATGTCATTCAGTATTAATTAACTGCCCTAAATTATTATATGAAATACATGCTGGTCTGGAGTTTTTATTTTTTATAATAAGAAATAAGTTTTTAAAAAGGATGAACGAGAAATTTTTTTCACAAACTAACAAGACTTCATAACTTAAAAGTTAAATGTTTGTGGTCTAAAGAAAAGTCAAGACTCTAAAACTAAATGTTTTCATGCTTTGGTCGCTTTACACCCAGCGTTAACACTAATACTTACAATGTAACTAATAAGCCTCAGAAACAACGAGTTTCAATCTTACTTCTAAAAGTAAGAACTTACATGAAACTGAAAGTATTTGCTAGGCTTAACACTATAAACAACAGGGAGAATTACATATAACTTATAACTATAAGCCTACCAAGTATTGGAAACTAAATAGTACAAGTAACGGTAGTGAATGAGTAAGACCTATAAAAATTATTAATAGTGATAATGTTACTCATACTAGTAATACAACCAGTGTAATATTACTAATACTGTTTCTAGTAATGTTTTTAATTTTATATTACAGTCGTTATTAATAGTAATACTAAGTTTGGTAAGTTTTAATTTGTAAAAAAATAAAATAATACCAACCCTGTGTAACATTTACAACTATCAAAAGTTGAACATTCATTTCTTTCAGCTTTTTCATTCAATACCAAGATTCCATCACTTTTAAGTTGCCATGGCCCGACATTAATAATTTATACACATAACTAAATTATCTCGTATCGATACTACCGTTACTTTAGTTCGTCAGTACACTTTAAGAAAACCGCCATTTTCATTTACGTAATTATGATAAAAAGTGCTTCTATATTCTAACTAGTGTATATGATTATACAATAACTGTAAAATAAAAAATAATAATAATTTACCACGGCGTTTCCTCATAATGAAAAGAAGAAAAAAATGATTTCTTTGGTTTTAAAATATATAAAATAATAATTATTTATCTGAAACAACAAAATTTTGATCTCAAATCTCCACTTCCCCAACCTGTTAGTTAATTTTCCGTAAATTCGTTCCGACGAAACTTTAGCGACACAAGTCCTTTCTTAAATAAAACTGGTTTATTCTTTCCGAATACAACTTTATGATACACTTAATTTCAACAGTCGCACTATAACAAACGCTATAACAACGAACGTCTCACGTGCTCACCTTCAACAATACTCAGTTCAATTACACACTCTCTGACTGCAGTTCAATTACTCATTTTCAGATCAATGTTCTGTATTAAACGATACGGCTGAAAATCATATCAGTAAAATGTCAGACATGTCCTATTGGTTAGTGCTCGAAATAATATTTGATTATTCATTGCTATTAGAAAATACTGTTGACTAGCTGCCTTCCCTTTTAATTGCCTATCATTTCAAAATTAGGAATGGCGAGAGATACAAAGGTCTCTAGGGAGGGCAATGCTTAGGTAATTCGCTTATGTATGCTTGCGTGAGTACTTTAAAACAAGCCCCCCCCCCCCCAGTGGCATAGCGGCATGTCTGCGGACTTACAACGCTAGAAACTGGGTTTGATACCCATGTTGGGCAGAGCACAGATAGCCCATTGTGTAGCTTTGTGCTTAATTACAAACAAACGAACTTTAAAACAAAAAAAAGAACAATTAAATAAAACAACTTTTATAATATTGTTACGTCTCCGTTCGTTAGTTAATTTTCCGTAAATTCGTTCCAACAAAACCTTAGCGACACAAGTCATTTCTTAAATGAAACTGGTTTATTCTTTCCGAATACAACTTTATGATACACTTAATTTCAACAGTCGCGCTATAACAAACGCTATAACAACGAACGTCTCACGTGCTCAATTTCAACAATACTCAGTTCAATTACACAGTCTCTGACTGCATTTCAATTACTCATTGCTCCGTCACGTTGTGACCGTCTTATATACACCAGACAACCCCCAATCTAGTAGTCTCTCGATAATTCACGAAGGTTCGAGAAGGACGTGGCGTGATACTAGTCACGTGACCTCGCTGACGCAACAATATAGACATATAGTGTACACGTTTTTTACACTTATACATAACTTTTAGGCCCCAATGGCTGAGTGGTAAGTCAGAGGGCTTATAGCGCTAAACATTGGGTTTCGATACGTGTGTTGGGCACAACAGAAATAGCCCATTGTGTAGCTTTGCGCTTAACAAAAAACAAACATCAGTTTTAAGTTACAACAGGTCTTCCCTTTATGAATTTTCTGTCAGTGATTTCTTCTTTTGGATAAGAAGCATTTACTGCAATATAATTTGTATTTCTCCCATCTTCTTTTTAAACGAAGTAGCATGGGCATCTATTTGCATTTGTTTTTTCTACGTATAACTAAGATATATGTGGCCAACAGATAAGTAAGCTAAGTACCACAAAAACAAGAGTTTTTTGTTGTTTATTATCTACACAGTTTGCATAAATCAAACTCGAACAAGGATAAATGGAGGCTGAGCATTCACACTTGTTTGACCTTTAAATAAAACTATTCACAAAATAAAGTCTGTAGTTTGTGTTAAACTGGGAGACTTCTCTATCTCGCTAACAATTCTACCTTAAACGAATACATTATCAATTGTGACTAAAAAGTAATGTAAATAATTCGATGACGAGGAACCCACTTTGAGACTAATAATGGTTGGAGACGGCTTGAATGGGTAAGAAAGACTTTAATATAAGTTTAACATAACAGCAAATGTACAACTTCAGTACCTGATGATGACAAAACCTTGTCGAAACGTTGTACATTTGCTGTTATGTTAAACTTATATCAAAGTTTTTCTTCATTACCCATTCAAGCCGTCTCCAACTATTATTAATGTAAATAATGTATCTGCCGTGACAGATGACAGAGACAGTGTGAATTCTAATCAATTACTATCTCTGTTTGAACCTATATAGAGGATAAATCTCTACCAGGATGTTTCAGAAAGCTACGTCACTTACTTCAGAAAATTAAATTTTCTTATGGAAGAAAAAAGTATCAGGTTTTTCCTGTTTGTCTTTATATTTGTTTATGTCCATACAACAGATGTCGTGAAAAGTATAATGATATATCTATTGTAGTGGCCACACACAGAAACAGACACACCTATACTAACCCTGACTACTAGTGTCAGCTTTAACTTTAAGGACCATACTAAGTGTAGTTCATACCCAGATACATTCTATTCATGGAGAACATCTAACAAGAACACACAATATGCAATAAAATGTTTAAATCAAAAATCCTGAATACGCTTTAAAATAAGTATAAAATACAGACAACAAAGGACAAGTCGATTCTTTGAGATTATTTTAGTACACCTACCCCTGAGGAAAAGAAAGGTAAATATATTTTTTTTTAAATACTGTTGC